GTGAAAGTAAATCGAAAAATTTGTTTTTGCTGTTGAAACAAAATTAACTTTTTGCGAGTGTATGAAAAATTAATGAAGTTATCACCTTTGGAGGCATTACTAACAATTAGTTTGTTAAAGTAGGATTTTATCTCAAATCCTTTTTCCGAAAAAAATATTATAAAAGTCACGGAATACTCTTGGTACAGCAAGTTACGTGAAGCTAAAAAAATATGTAATCCCAAGCAAGAATGACGCAATGTTATAATGGATTGCACAGAAATGAATTTATTAGATTTATTAGATAAAACTGTAAATATAACTAAAAATAACTAAATATAACTAAATATAACTAAATATAACTGTAAATATATATATATAATAATAAAATATAATATAATAATAATAAACTATTGCGTGAGAAGTAAACGCTGCCTGTAACGCCGCCGAAATGATGATACACTTAATTTTTTAAATACTGATGGAATGTCATTATATACCTGCTGAACCGTATAGGAAAATGATCTTGATGCAGGAAACCCGTTAGGTTAGGTTGCGTTTACTTGAGTTGAATTAGTTACATTATGTGGGAGGGAGGTGGACAAATTGCTCCAGATGTTATCCATCACTACGTCTTCCCAGCTTTTCCCTGCATTTGCGCATTGAATGCCCTTTCTGGAAAACTACCTTCTTCCATTTTCATCACATGTTCAGCACATTTCCGCCTTTATATTATGATAAATTCCGAGTGGTGACATCTTTGAAAAGCTGATATATCTCATTGTACTTCATCCTACACACGCTCTGGTCCCGAACTGGTCCCACGATTCTACGCAATACTTTTCTTTTGAAGATATCAAATTTATCACTTGATCTCTTAGATAGAACCCATGTTTCGTTACCATATTTTATAATTGATTTAATGATTGTTCTATATACTCTCATATTAGTTTGTCGGTGTAAGTCTTGTGATCTGAATACATGGACTAATGTGAAGTATGAAGTGTTCATACTTTATTTGCTAAGCTCCATGTGCTTGTGTTATTCTATAATTTATTTCTATATCTTCCGTGATATCCCTGCATAGCACGATCCCCAAATATGAGAACTGTTCAGTCTTTTCAATGTCATCCTCCATGATGACGTTCTGCGTTTGTGTGGGCTTGAGTGTTCTTGTTTGTGTTAATGCCTTCAATTTTCCTCTGTGTATCTCTAATCTCGACCACTTGGCGTATTCCTAATGTTGATAGTATGCTTCTTTAGTTTCTGCTTTCGTATCACTCATAATGTATAAATTTGCATATACAGAAAATTGTTGGTCAGTAAACTTTCTCTTCCACTGTCCGATTGTTTTATGATGAATTTAAGCATTAGATAAAATAGAGTTGGGACCAGCTCGTCTCCTTGTTGGGGTCCACGTGTTATTGTGAAAGAATCTGTTAGTTCATTATTTATTAGCAACCTTGCTTCAGTATTCTCCACTGTAGCCTTTATGCGCCATATTAGTTTAAATGGTACGGACAGCTAATGCAGGATTTGATAGAGTTTATGAATAAAGCCTATAAATATGTTATGTAGGTTTATTTTATGTCCCAAGTTAAGGATCGGTTTTGTTTCCACTCGCTATGCTAACTAAGTCTGTATTATATTTTGACATATACGTCGCTTGGCAGTGTCAGAAGTTTTTCTCTTCACCTCCACTAAAAGTATATTTATGAATCGCTGTGAAAATCGGCAGAGTACTTGTTTTAAAGAAATTGCAACACTATTCGTTATTGAGATTTAAGCGAAGATGAGGCCTTTTCCTCAATGTATACATCACCCTTGGATTCCTCATCATCGGATTTTAGAGGGTTGTGAAAATAATCATCGATATCGTTAAGATACTCTTCTTGTAAGTTTCCCACAAAATTGGAGATGGCTGGTTCTTACATTAAGTCCTACATAACATTTTATAACAACAGCTAAGATCCCATCTGTGTTAAGTATTAAATTAAAATTTGATCGAATTCTTCCGTTTCAGATTTACATAGACAAAATAGAAGGAAAGACAAAAAAGACACAACATTTCTATTACATTGAAAAATAAACGAAAGATTATTATTAAGTACTTAAAACGGATTAAGAAAAATTAAATTAATCATTATTTTTATTTTCAGAATTGCTCAAAAATTCGTCTTAAATTAATATCGTCCTTTAAGCATTGTGGGTAACATATTTACATAAACATTTATAATTCGCCTCAAAACCGTACCACAATAAGTTAAGAGTCATAAATCATTTGGGTTTTCTAATTAAAACCACTAAAACTTAGATTATGTGATTGAATTGAGGTTGACCTTTGTTTTAAACAGAAATGAAACATCCTTGATGTTTACTTTGAGATAATAAAAAAAAAAGATATAATGTATATATAATAGGGTCTCATTACTAACAAAGAATGATTACATATTTTTTAAATTTGTGTTTCTAAGAACTCGTGTTTGTCATATCAATTCGTTTTGCGTACCACATTCTTGGGAAAACTAGCAACAAATCTACCAAGATAAGTTTAAAAATATATCATTTTTGCCATTTGCTCGCGCCGCGACATTTTCCATTTGACGTCAAACGCGCACCTCTGCAGTGATTCCCTAAAGAATGTTTGCCGTACATATTTAGCTTTGATTTAACGTATAGGAAATATCTATTTCCACCATTTACTTGTTGTCGGCAAACTTTCCGTTTGAGTGAGTTGTAATTCTACGAACGAATTCTCTTTTATACTGTAGAACTTCTTTGATTACCAAGATTTATCATAGTAAACAAATTACGCGACGGGTATGTAAAGAAAAACCTTATTTTCCCACCGAACGTCTTTAAAAAATAAGCACACAGTTTACTTTTGTTTATTTTCTTTGTAACGGGTGTAGATATCGTGGGATTTGGCGAGAACTACTTTAACTTTACGTATTTTACGGCGCAACACGCTTCGAATTATTTACGAATTTATTTGGAGGATGAGCAACAAATTTAGAACCACTGTGTCTTTCGGTTAATGGATTCTTCTAAGAATACATTTCTCTCGACGATGATGTAATCTTCTGTTCGTACCTGCTTGGAGACCGGAGATCCTTTTAGCAAGTTTTACTTTTTCTCTCGTTATAAGTTGTTTACTTTTACATAGAGTTCAACTGAGGAATGTTAACGTTTAAATAGTGTTAGATATGCAGTAAAAATGTATACGTGTGTATGTATTTTAAACAAGGTATTAATGCAAATTAGTTTTAAAACCTAACTTTAAATAAGTCTTACTGAGATACCGAGAAATAAATTACTTAGATTTATTATTATTTATTTTTAAGTTATTTGGCGTACCAAAATTAATTATAGGTGTGATTTAAAAAATTTAAATAACCAGATTTAGGTGTGGGTTTTTGGACGAAATTTCGGATTGAAACGAACTCGCTCTTGCGTGCAACAGGAACTTACGTTACCTTGATTTAGAAAGCAGATTTATTTTTTTATCTGTGCCATTGACTATTGATGAATGGATAACAATTTACGTAGTTTATTACGTACGTTCTGATCTAGATTTTTTTTAATGTAACGTCAGGACCGTGTCAAATTATTATGGTTGTGGGAATTTACTATACAAATATTGTTAGTAAGTGTTAATACCAATATGAAAGTTTCATGTTCTGGGTGTTTAGTTTATGACATACGATGAATCACACATTAAGAGGATGAAACAAATAAAATAACACTTCAATCTTGTTTAACTAATCGAAATCAAAAATGTTAAATAAATGTGACGTGAGATGTGAGAGTTTCTTGTGATATTTCTCCAATATTTGATTATTATGCAATTTTCCTTCTTGCCTTCCCAATTCGTCTTTGTTTTACGAAAACGTAACATTTTATCAAAATCTTAAAGTTCCCCAATAGGCAAAAAGTTTTGTGCCAAGTACTTTATTTATATTTCTTGTACTTATCAGAACCAGCAAACACACTTAGCATGTAGTCCACTCAGTCTGTGGTCAGTCTCTACTCAATGTGCTAAAATTTCTTCTAAAACGGAATAAGTCGCTGGCAGAAAAATAATAATTTTCCCTCAAAGCGTTATGAAGTGTTAAATCTGTTAAAATTTGCATCCCTTGGTGTAACTATGCTAAACTAAATTGCTCAGAAAATTGTAGTTTAGACAAATACATCGGATTCGCAAATGATAAAAGCTTCGTATGCTGGTGTATTATTTTGTTCCAACTAAATTGTTATTGAAGATATAATAGAATTTAAATAAGGTATTTCAATATCTATTTTATTAATTTCTTGATACATTATTCCAATAAGAGTTTCGTACTGTGTTTTTAGGAACTGCTTTAATAATTCGCATGTACATCTCAACGTCAAAAAGATTTGTGGTAACACTGGAGAGATCGCTGACGACAGGCTCTGTTTTTGGATTGTACTTTGCTATTATTAGACAAACAGCATGGTACTCGAACAAAATTAGACAATGTGTTAGGATTACAAAAAGAATCTTAGAAAGTTTACAGTAAACATTTGTAAACAGAGAGCGTGATTAAAAGAGCGTCTCGACTGTAAACGACCTCGGATTATATTCTTGCTGCTATTGGATTCCTGCAGTGGTAATTGTTAAACACAAGCAACGATCGAGATCGAAACCTCGACTGCTAGCGACTTCGGCTTATATTTTAGCTACTATTGGATTGCTATAATAGCGACTATTAAAGATATAAAGCTATCAAGAGATCTCCTCGACCTCAAGCGGTCTCTGCTAAAATTTTTCATAACCAATAAGAATATAACCCAAGATCACTTGTGGTAAAGACGTTACAATAGTGACCCTCAGAAATAAAGCACAGTTGAAGTATAATTATGGTATATTGTTGTGACCTGATTGATGTAATGGTTAGAGCGAAAGACATATTGGAATCGAGATAGTACTTCTAAGGTAACTGCCATGAAGATATTATATTTTCATTTATTGTGTCCACAGTAGGTTATTGATTTTCTGGCTAAGGTTCATCATTTATTGTATTGGCAGAAGGTTGTTCCGGTTCAGCACGAGGTTGAGGTTCAATCGTAACAGAAATAGAATGAAGAATAACGGCTAAGTTTTCATCTGTGCTATTATTATCATCCGCTCTGTCCAAAATTATGTTTTGACCTTCACCGGAATCACCATCTTTTAACATTGTTCCAAGGTCTTCTTCACTTACTACTTCCGACAATCCATCAAATGATGGTAAGACTGATTTTAAACCTACTTTGGGTTTGTAGCCAAACATAGCTTCGTAAGGACTGCGATCGATGCCGGAGTGATAAGCTCTGTTTTTCATGAACTGTACGAATCTTAGCCCTTCCGAAACCATCTTTTCTATATCCTGATTTGCTCTTTCTACTGAGCCTTGAGATTGGCTATGACTGGGTTTGCCATGTAGAATTTTGGGTTCTTTCCACATTTGGCACAATTCGACAATAACTTTATTTACGAATTGTCAATGTGCAAAATGCATGGCGCTCCAAATATTGTAAAGATATCCAGCAAATGATATGCGACTTCTTCGGCTCGCTTTGTTTTTAGTGATCTGAGAATCACAAATTTGGTGAGATGATCTTCATACACCATGATGAACTTAAAATCACCGTCTGCTTGTGTTTGCATGTCGATCAAGTCGACTTGGCATCGTGAGTTAAATTCACTACTTTTTATGGGCTTAACCACTAGCTCTTTCTTTGGTACATTTAATTTTTTTTTGACATGGTTCACAAAGAGTCAAATACAGAGCCACAAATTTTTAGTAATGTTTTTGTACTTCAGTTTGAGTTCTTTCATCATCTTATTTCTACCTCCATGTCCGATGGAAATGTGAATTTCGTGAATAATATCAAACGTTTCATTTTTCACTGAGACGATTAATTTTTGGATTGTTCCAATTTTTATTATATCATACCTCGACAATCGTTGATATTCCTCAGGAGCTTTGCTTGCGAGCTTGTCTTTAGCCACATGCACTTTGGTTAAAATTGAATAATACTCATCGCGAGTAAACAACTGATTGTTTATCCCTTTCGTTAATTTTAATTTATGAATTTTTTCATTAAAACGTCTTTTCATATCCATGGATTCCACCAATTGCGACATAAATGTACTCAATACACTCAATTAAAAAATTGAGTTAAAAATAGGAATGGAATATTAGAAATAAAACAACAAAAAGCATAAAAGACACCAAACACACAAACGCTGTAGTTGTCAAATGGCACACAGCTGATAAATATATCAGTGCGCATGCGATAACCTATAGTGGCTTTACCTGTCTGTATTTTTCGTAACTATTTCAACCAATCAAAGTAATCCTATACAAGCTCGCGCACCACGGGCCATCGGGCATTATTAATATGAACCGGCCAAAGTAATAAATTTATCAATTTGACCGATGTTCTTGGTCATTATTCATCAAGTTGCCCGTAACATACACACTTTTTTGATTTGAAGGTTCACTTAATAGGAAGCTGCTAGTGTTTCCTGAATAAGCTGGTAATGAGCAACTGCTGCTCTATAATTCAGAATAAATAAATTTGTGTTAATATTCAACAAAGACATTTATTTTATTTAGTTGGTTTCTTGCTTAAGTGCCTTCTTTCTTCCTTATAGGCACATTTGTGGATTGTTGCTGTTTCAAAGTTTCCATTATTTTCCAAACATAGTAATTTTTGTCAGCAGTGTGCGACAAGTTTTTTAAGAAGTTATTTCAGTTGTCATGAAGCTAATAAAGCTTAATGGTATNAATTTTTCATAACCAATAAGAATATAACCCAAGATCACTTGTGGTAAAGACGTTACAATAGTGACCCTCAGAAATAAAGCACAGTTGAAGTATAATTATAGTGTATTGTTGTGACCTGATTGATATATTGATTATAGTGAAAGACACATTGGAATCGACATAGTACTTCTAAGGTATAACACTTCTAACTACTGCAATGAAGATATTAGAACAAATTATACACAAAATAATTAAGGTAGTTTAACAATAGAAATTAACATTAGCTGAGACACAAATTGGTTTTGGAAAAGGCAGGAAGTAATCGCAACAAAAAATAAAAAGGTTTGCATAGTATTCATTGAGTTAGATAATGATGATTCATTGTCTTGAGATATCAAAGGAGGCGATGCTGAATACCTACAAAGTAATAATAATAATAATCGCCTTTATTCTCCAATAAAATAATACAAATAATCCATATGTTATTATAATGCAACCTATCAAATAACTAAATACTTAATTATTGGAGAACCTCAAGGTGCAGTTCAGATGAGTGCAAAATTAAGAAAATTAAAAAGAAAATGAACAGAAACTAAAAATAACAGTAGAAATAATAGCCTAAAACTATTACTAAAAACCTACTTAAACCTAATTAATTCCGCAAGAGAAGAAAAAATTCCGTATCAATTCCATAACATCATAACAAATCAACTGAAAAAGGGCTCATTGCAAGGGAAGTCCACGCCATAAAGTAGCTTAATTATTGCTCATTGAAGAGCAAGAGGAAAACAGCACGTCTGAACGCCACTACACCCTTAGTTTTAATTTCTACCGACAGATTATTATATTTAAAGTAAATGTTATAGCTAAAAGATCTCTCAAACAAAGCTGTCCTATGGGCTGGAGGAGCTATCTAAAGTAACAACCATTACACTCATTACAATTGACACGATAGATGATATTAGATTTGTACATCAGGGGATCTTTATCTTTGATGTTACTATAACAACAACCTATCGTATAAGGGTAGTAATCAACTATTTTTCTATCAGGTGGTAGATGCGGTCCAATTATTTTTTTAATTTTGTCATACATTTTTGGGATTTTCATAATTTTACTAAATTTAGATTGTCTGGTAGGTGGTATATCAAAAATACTGTTAACAGTTGGTTGAGAGCTGTTATTGGAAGAAGAGACAAGAATCTTGTTAACTAAGTGCTTAGGAAAACTGTTGCCAATAAAAATCCTTTTTAGCTTTAACAGTGCGTTGTATTGAAACTTGTTATCACAAATTCTTAGTACTCTATTCTTCACACCTCGTAAGGTATTAATTTTATGGTTAAATGAATGTGAGGAGAAATAGTTTATGTAACGTCCCGAATATGTCGGTTTGGTGTACCAATCACAAATCACAGAATTATTCTCACGTATGACTCTACAATCGAGAAAAGGAACCCAGTTATCAGTTTCAGTTTCCACAGTGAACTGGATGTAACTACGTCAAGAACGTAGTCAACACGATCACTAGGAACGCTGGTGATAATGATATCAACAAACTTCTTTCTAAACGGTAACTGAAAATCCAATTTGGGAATCACATTATCCAAAACAAAATCCACTACCATCAGCGCCAAGATGGGGCTAATAGGAGAACTCATAAGAGTACCAAACTTCTGAACATAAATCTGATCTTGAAACGAAAAGTAAGTATTGTCAAAAACAAACTTTAAAAGTATACAAAAGTTTTCCAAATTAAAACTGCAATAATCATCAATCAAATTCCACATTTCATTTCTTGATAGACATTTACCCCTCCTAAGAATTTATCTTCCATGTCATCAACCACTTCTGAAGCAAGTGAAGATTGTACTGAAAATGTTAGGTAGTTAATTTAGGTTCAGAGAGTAATAATTAGGGTGTCATCAGCGAAAGTTGGTACCGTTAAATTAGTAAAAGGAAGTTCTGAAGTGTATAGTTGGTACAGAGTAAGTCCAAATACACTTCCTTGAGAGACTCCAAACTTAATTTTTAGTAAATTTGAGTGATTATCATCCTGTTGCCCTAAAAATTTATTCTTTGCGTATGAGTCCAATACGTTAGACGTGTTATGCGGTAACCACATTTCCATTTTCGTAATCAGACCTTATCAGAGGCCTAAGAAACATCGAAGAAGGCGTTATACTCTCCAAAGCATCTCTTACAGTTCTTATGATCCTAGAGATCTGTTCCACAGTGCCACATTGAGCTTTAAAGCCGAACTCATAATCTAATTAATCCAACACACTCTTAATATGATGTCACATTAGTTTAGGGTCTTTTTTCAGTATTTCCACAGCATTAAAGATGTATAGGATTAATGTAAATAAGATTATCATTTGGATCTTGCTATAGGATCGTGATTTTTTGGTTTAGTCCATCAATAATGTTCTTGATTTCGAATATACACGCGTGTTTAAATTGAAAGTCCATTTGATAGGAAACTGCCAGTATTTCCTGAATAAGCTGGTAATGGGCAACTGCTGTTTTATAATTCGGAATAAATAAACATTTACTTGTTCTACATTTGTGGATTGTTGCTATTTCAAAGTTTCCATTATTTTCCAAACATAGTAATTTTTGTCAGCAGTGCGCGACAAGTTTTTTAAGAAGTTATTTCAGTTGTCATGAAGCTAATAAAGCTTAATGGTATTATTTAGCTTTATCTCTAGGGTTTCGGATAATTTGCCAAGTTTTCCATAGTTTTCTTTTCTTTTTAATCATATTGAGTTTATATGTGGAAAATAAGCCTGAGTCTTGGTATAAGATGATACTTGAGGAGCAATCAATGTTTTCAGGTATTAACTGTTTACACAAAAATCAATTAGTATTTACTTGATAACGGAGGTGGTTTGGTCAGAAGGCACGCTTTCATTGCTGTTTCAACGATAAATGAAGATTGCTCAGATGGTAACTCAAATAAAGGATTAATTTTAACTCAGATAACTTAATAACAGAAAAGTCAATAATTGGCTAGATCTCTGAGCCAATATATATTGCCCAAAATAGCTTTGTAAAGATTACTTCCTATACAGAAATCGAATAAGAATCACAAAAGTTATCAAATTAATATTGCTTTGGTGTTAAATATCCCACGATTGTCTAGATTTTGAGAACGAGTGCTGTACAAAACGCAGAAATAGAATACAGTTAATATATGAGGTTTGATTAATGATGCTTTGATTCTGTGCTGAAAGCACCTTATTCCTTCAAAGCAAAATTTGAACTTGAAAGTGGAACAATTACATAGGAGTTTAAACAGTTGAATATATTTTAAAGTTTAGTACATTGTTATCAAATCTTTCATTTAATTTTTTAATTCTAGAGTTTAATCGGTTCCTAATTTCTAACTCATTTAAAAAGAGATCTATAGCAACGTAACAGTTATATTTATTGTTTAACAGTCACATCATTATTAATGATGGTTTGGGTTTTAAAATACAATACTGCAGTTCCAGGGTTTACCAGTTTTTTCTTTGAATACTAAATGCGGAAAAGGTCAACCTTAAGACGTTCTTCTGGGGAAATATCGCCGTAGAATTATTTGTCGATATTCTAAGTAGATATGCGTAATTATAAATCCAAAAATACCCTTATATTTAAATAAAATTCACTAACAAATGTAAATAAGAATTGTTAACTAAATTTCTATGGCA